TGTGCCCCCGTGCCGCCGCCACTGCATTTTGAGTCACAGCATTCAATCTAAAAGCGTACACTGTACATTCATTTGATGAAACCATGAAGCTAAATCTACAGGGCGAATCTCTGTGTTCGAATTCAATTGGGACAGGAGACTATGTGGTTGCTGTGTGAAACACAACAAATAAATAAGGGTTCCGATGCGTTCACAACACTTTTGCAATCAGTTATAGGCTAGTTTACGACACACGCGGTCACCGGCTGGTGCATATCCAAACTTGGCTCAATCTAAAAGTTGGCAGTGCTTCAATCAGAACATTTACCACACAAGTCGTGGAGTTATATATGTAGATTTGAAAGGCTGTTTTAAAATTTTAGTATTTTAACAAGGCGACTTTTGAGGAGGTGGTCGGAACAAAATATCACGTGACACAGTAACCGGTTAAATATCATACCATAGCATTTGGACTGTAACTTGGCAAGACATCACACGAATGAGCCGTATCACGAAAACATTTTTTCCCGGATCTCATCATTCATAATGAATTCGACACGCCCTCTGCTCAGATCCCAGATAATAACATTCCTCGCCGAAAGATTGCAGTGCACCATGATGATAACCTGTTTGAGAACAGCATAGCCAGCCATATTTGACATATGTATGATGCATGTGTGGCTTCAGTGTCGATCACAACATTCAGTCAGAGTCCCTCAAGTGTTGAGGGGCTGTGATCCAGTTAAGTTAATTTGGAGATATTCGGTAAGAGGAGGAGACTGAAATTGTTGATTTGATTTTTTCTACAATTCATATCCTATGCACGTTATTGTATGTGTGATTAACCACTTTATTTTGATTGATTGATTTTACAGCGGACGTAAACAAAATATGCACGGGGAGTTAGCAAACTCCCTAGCTATCAAATGATCTAATATTATGAAAATCATTTGCTAAATTTTGTGACATGGCGCCACTTGATTTTGAATTAATTGACTTTTGTCTAGGTACGTACTATGGCTAAGTTGTTGTCTGTTTTTATATTGCAACATACAAAGACAATTGTGAATTGTCCGTACTAGTCTTATTTGTGGTCGCTTTAACCATGTGGGGAGTTGGTGATGTAATTGCAACATTAATAATGACTTTCCCTGGGAAGTTGCAAGTTCCCCGTACAAATCTCGTTTGCGCCCGCCATATCTTACACTGATGCGATGTTCCCGTCTCCTGTTTTTTATACGCATAAACTCGGTATACTTCCAATATTATAGCCATTCATAGCTTCATTTGCGCGTAATACGCCAAGTACATCTAGTACTAAATTTGTTTTTCTGTCAAGCTTGCGCATCGAAGTGTTAGCCAAGGATCAGCCCAAGGAAAATTTGTTATACCGGTAAATCAAAAGTCAACGATCTCTTGTATGAAAGCGAGACGCGTGTTCTGTAGATTTAAATCGGTGTGGTCAATAGTGCAAGAACATATAAAGTATAAACAGCTGATTAAATCGTCGTGTTGGCGATATGTAGACAATACACACAGATACCAGGCCTGTCCCGTATATGTCAGTTTCAATTGAATTGTTAAGGAGAGCGAGGTCAACGTGGAAAAGTCGAACAGACTGCCTAGATATCTGTACTAATACTAGGGTGTTCATTGTTATTACTATTGCGTGGGGCCACGTTAGGTACCTTTAGGAAACCGACAATAGACGATGGACAGTCCCGATGAATCATCATGTTGCCCACATAACAAAATGATGACGTCAGTTTGTGTATAGTTATTGTTTGATTTGTAAAGTCGAGTGTTTTGATATATTTCACGAAATAATGTTCCACATCGGTTTTATCACAGACAAGGCAATTGTATTGGCAGAAAACTGTGTCACAAATATGTTGGAAGGTATTTCCCAAGATGTTGTTTGTAGCAGAGGACTAAGCTCTGCCGGAAACCTCGCGATTGGGTTTAACAGATCCAGCGAATAAATGAACCGTACTTATGATCCTCGCATATGTACAACGTTCATGTGGGTATCGACGTTCGACATACGCAAACACAACAGTTTTGCCCTCCCTCGCTGAAAAAACAAACAAACACCTAACGCGATTCTAAGAAAGTCAACGGTTGAAATCGTAGCGAGTGTGACATAGGCCAGATTAAAACAACATCGTCGTATTTGTGACGTAAACTGCGTGATTAATAGCACATGTTATACACGGGGGGTTATCTTAGCCCTGGTATCTGGATGACCCACACCACAAGGAATAACATTTTCGATACGTCTGTCACCACACACATTGACGCATATACATATACAGTCTATGAGTCAAGTATGAATTAATCGCGAACGAGGACCCGTAAAATCGGGGAATTTGTCATCAGTGTCAAATATACATTTGTTGATGAAGCTCCACTGTCCATTTATTGTTGAACGTGACCATTTCTATTTCTGTTCTTCAGTTCAACTTTAAACACTTGATACTCCTTCATTTTATATTACATTCAAAATGACCCGTCATATTATCGCTGAGGTCAAATTTCCGGGCACTGTCAAATTCCCTACATACGGGTATGGCATTCGAAATTACCCAGTGTAAGGTTAGTTTTTAATAGTCAAATCACCCCCTGCGCAACAAGCATTATATAAATTTGTTGTTTGTTTTCAATTTTATTACGGACTAATTACCGGCGGAAGCCACGTGGCCAGCTACTCCAGAAACCCGGGCTGTCAGAAAGCTTAAACATTGCTACTACATATCACCGGTTATCACGCTATCGTTATGAAAACAATTGCACCGGAAGTAGCCACATACTTGCATGTCATCGTAATGAATGTTCGTTTGCTGGGGCTACTTCATCCGTAAAGTTGTCAAAACTGAAGAGACCTACTAGTAGTAAACAAGCAACACATCGCCCGTATCTAATCCATCTATTCTCATATTTGAGAAGTTCAGAAATCGACAGACTTATTTCGTTTTTTGTAGACAGTTATCCTTGACACTATGTCTGTCATTGCCAAAATGCAAATCATGGACTTTGCAAGTTGGATTTTTGGATTTTAACCACCTCAAAAATAAAGTGTACTTACTGCGTCGTATTCACCGTGTGCCAGAGCCAAAATCGCGGCAGCGGAGAAAACCAATTGCCACATTGTGAGTGTATGCCACTGCTGTACCAGTTCTGAGCAAAGAGGAAACATTAACGATCTCGCTGGCCAATCGCTCCCCAATGACGTTGGTCAGAGGTCAGGAAAACTTACATGCACGTTGGTTACATCAGTTTAAGTAGACCGGAAATGCGGGAAACGCCGCAGACCAGCATCCGTTCTGTCTTTGTTCGGTTATACATTTTTTTTACTATGCAATTCATCTCCGTCATCATGGTATTAATATAAAACACACGAGTATTTCTGTGAAAGTTGACTTAAAACCGCGGTTCCAGTTATGTGGACACGCGCAATGCGTATTGTCAAACTCGCGAGGACATACTTCGCTTAAACTTTTTATTGTTGGCATAAAAACCCTTAACTGTCATATCACCGGGGCATATCACATATTATTAATATTTGACTGGAACTATGATGAAACATTCCTGGTACACATCTTCCTTGCCCTAAA